CGGTGAAATTAGTCGTTAATCAAGTAGGGCAATTAAATTCATACTGGCGACGCACCAAAATGGAAAGCCCATCAAAACAATTGCAATGAAAATATTTTTAGGAAAAGGAAGACCACATGACGGTGGCCAAAAAGTGACTGAATACGAGATGCCAGGTTAAGACCGATAAAATTATAGATCCTTCTTTTGATTTTGTCGAGAATCTCGTGATATATAGCCGGATAACCGTACCAAATATTACAGCAGTAGCCAATATACGGGCGAATGGTACATTTATAAATGTGCAAAATGGATTCTGAGGGGAAGAATTATCTTGCATGGCACAATGAACCAACATTCCTAGCAGAAGACCTAGCAACTGATTCAATATAATCAGAACGTTTCGGCTGTATGTAGGAGCAGATTGGAGAGTAATCTAATTAATCATACTCTACGAAAAGCAATTTCACTTTATGCGGCAACTTGGAAAGTGAAAGATTTTATAACGACATCTGCAGAAAACCATCTTCACTACAGACGGGCAATTACAATGCAAAATTACGGATAAGGAAAGAAAAAGAATCTTGTGGATTATATAGTTTAAAAAAAAAATCAAATGAAACATGTCCGATACATAACACGCACAGAAAAGTAGCACATTCTTGAGTATGTGTTGCTTTTTATGAAAAAGATAAAGGAATAATAAATTACTAAAACTTAAACAGACAAAATCCTAAATTGGTTAAATATGATCAGAAATAAATTATATTTTGCTATTTTAGGCACTGAATCGCCAATATAGTTTGACTGATTCGATCTATTCGAATTATCGTTCTCATCTTTGAATGTTATTTGTTTCATTATAGATTCTATATAATGCTAGATTAAAGCAATTGTGCAATGTCTTATTCTATTAAGTTGTCCTCTTCATGCTGGATTCGACCAGGAAATTATGTCATGGTAGTGAGTATAAAGCCAGATTATACGGTGGGATTTACATGCCTAAGAAAAAATGATAGCGCATGCAGCAATGGGTAGCCAACAAAATAAGAATGGCTAAGACTCCATTGTTTTATAGATCACGCAAATGAGTTCGAGAAATTACCAATTGCAAATCGGAGAAATCAAAATCAAGCAAACTTAAAATATCTGAGAAATGTTTAAACTCAGGATGGAAAATGCGACACTGAAATCCTTGGGATAGCCAAGGAAGCAATCCTAAAACTAAGCAGAATACTAAGAAATACGAATGGTTCACTAGAGACAAGAAAAAGAGTATGATGATACCATGTGATATCTCTCATCCTGTATGGCAGTAAGAGATGGACGATCTCCACAAAAAGGAAGAGGAGACTTGAATCAATAGAAATGTAGTTCTACAATGAGGATGACGTGGGCCGAACATGTGAGCAACGCCGACGTTTTCGAGAAAATAGATACAAAAGGAAACTCATGATTAACAACTGGAAGAGACAGTTGAGGCTTATAATAAAGTAGGAGGGCTTGGAAAATCTGATACTCATGGGACAGACTGAGGGCAAGAGGAACTAAGGAAAACAAGGCATAACGTACTTTGTGAGTTTGAGTACATGGCTGGTGCAACAGGGCCTAGGAGAAATAACAAAAAGACAAGGTTTATTAAGACCTACAAGGAACACGAAGTTGTGGAAAGCCATTGAACGTGGAAGTAGAACAGTCTACTCCGGTGGACAAAATAAAGGGTGCAGTTCGATATTCCAGTCGAAAAAAAAAAAGGTCAGTATAAGTTGTACCCTCCAACGTAACAACTAATCCTCGGTACATAGCAGCAGCTTCGACAAAATGCGATAGGAATATACAAGCAACGCAGAAAACATCTTCGGTCTTCCTAATCTATGTGAAGGGATTCTCGAGGTAAATATAAAAGTTTCCGTGGGTCATATGACATTAGGACGACCTTCCAAAGTTGTTCGACACTCTGCAGACACCACTTCCGTGTAAGACCCGTCCGCTACATAGAGGAGAGCATGACTAATGACTATAGTCATCCCATGCAGCTGTACTAAGAAATATAAAGTCGAAACAGGCCGCCAATAACACTGTAAAGTCTTGACATGAAATAACAGACGGACAGCATCACACTGGAAATACGCAAAATTAAGGAATCAGGCCACAAAAATCTACTAAGCCGGCCAAGCATAGAAATGAATACAATATGGGAACCAGTAATATGGAGATCTAGAGAAGTCTAACGAGGCGTCTACTCAAATGCGTGTATCCACTAAAATTGATGTTTGAAGTAATATAAATGTTGAAATAAAAATGTATCTATTGCTAATTATATATATATATATATATATATATATATATATACAAAAACTTTTGAACACACTTACGCACAGATATGCACACACATACACACACACACAGACATATATATATATATATATATATATATATATATATATGAAAAGACATCTTTTCTTTGCACACGCGTTTCGTTCCTTAAGGTACTTTATCAAGGAAGGAAACGCGTTCATAAAGAAAATTTATCCTTCCTTTGTCTTTTATTTATGTATTTACAGATATATTTTATTCATATCTGAATTTTTAAACAAATGCACAGACACAGACACACATATATATATATATATATATATATATATATATATATATATATATATATAGAGAGAGAGAGAGAGAGAGAGAGAGAGAGAGAGAGGAAGAGAGATATGAAGAAGAAAAAAAGTAAAAACAGATGATAACAGAAATTATGGAGAGTTATGAACACATATACATACATAAGTAATCATTAGAATTATAGCAGAAGAGAAAAAGAATATATATATATATATATGTGTGTGTGTGTGTGTGTGTGTGTGTGTGTGTTTTGTGTTTTGTGTGTAGCTGTGCGTGTGTGTATAGAGATAAGTAGAATAAGAAAAATAAACATCGAATTCAGATTGCAGTAAATAGGAACTTGAAAAAGATTCCTTAAAGTCTAAGTAGCTTTGATGGGATGATCGTTTATCCGGATGTGCCTGGAGACGAGAATTTCTCTTGAAAAACCTTCCACCTTGGTCCCGCCGCTTCGGAAACAATTTCATAATACTGGATTGTTGAATGAAATAGATCATCGAAGGCTTCCAATATCACGACTGGATTCCATATTTCTCGGTACGAATTGGCTAAGCGTTGGATGGGATTTCATTTCAGAAAATGCTATATCCAAAACTGATTATCTTTCAAAATATACATTTTTGGTTTGTACTATCTATTTTTATAAAAATAATAGAGTAACACACATGCACTGACAACTTTGTATATATATATATATATATATATATATATATATATATATATTGTGTGTGTATTTAGGCAGCATATTTTCATTTATACACGTTTCATTAAATAATATAGACAAGTGTTGTCTATTTATTTTATGTAAAATTTTTCGTATCTTCTGATAAGTTTGGTAACATAATCATTAAACGAAAAAAGAAATTCACAATATTTATCCATTATTTTTTATAAAATCTAAGCTTTCGGCTTACTCAAGCCATTATCAAAGATGTAAATACAAACATATCAAACAATATACGGACACGACAGTGATGATATAGTCTGTCATTGTTTTGTCTACATAGTGAATCACTAAGCAACGATGAACACGCGCATATAAGACGCTAGAAGCGAAAATCGCACCGCATCTCATGACGTCACACATTTTTTTGAGAGTGAATTGGAGAATGAAATAAGGAAAGCCGTTGGTATAATCAATGGCTTCTGTTACCAATTATTGAAATTATAGACATTTAAGAATATTTGTAGAGATTCCATAGTTGATTTTGTTTAGGTTGGGTTTTAACTGTTTGATGTATAATGCTTCAAGTATTTTTAGTTTTTGTCAAATATTCTTAAATGTCTATAATTTCTATAATTGGTAACAGAAGCCATTGGTTTATACCAACGGCTTTCCTTATTTCATTCTACAATTCACTCTCGTGTAGTCATGTGTGACGTCATGAGATGCGGTGCGATTTTCGCTTCTAGCGTCTTATATGCGCGTGTTCATCGTTGCTGAGTGATCCACGATGTAAACAAAACAATGACAGACTATCATCACTGTCGTGTCCGTATATTGTTTGATATGTTTGTAATTACATCTTTGATAATGGCTTGAGTAAGCCGAAAGCTTAGATTTTATTAAAAAATAATGGATAAATATTGTGAATTTCTTTTTTCGGTTAATGATAATGTTACCAAACTTATCAGAAGATACGAAAAATTTTTACATAAAATAAATTGACAACACTTGTCTATATTATTTAATGAAACGTGTATAAATATATATATATATATATATATATATATATATATATATATATATATATATATATATATATATATTTTCCTGATGTTTTCTTTTTTATTATTTATTTTCTAGTTCTTGTTCAAACTATCCGATAGGATGCAGCGAAGACAACTTCAGGAGTGGCAGAGAATTTTGTAATTTACAAAATATTACTGTGCTCCCACATATCGACGAAATAAAAAAAATATATATATACAAAGTATATCATTCATTATATATATATATATATATATATATATATATATATATATATATATATATATATATATGTGTGTGTGTGTGTGTTTGTTTATTTGTCGGAATTTCAGGCTATCGACTACGACGACACAGGAAAAGTGGATGTAACAACGACCAAAAATAATAACAAAAACAAGAATTACAATAAAAATATTAATAATAATGATATATGGGAATATATAAAAACACCATATCTAATAAATAAAAATAAAAATAATAATAATGATGTATAAAAATATATATATAATGATATATCAAATTGTGTGTGTGTGTATATATATATATATATATATATATATATAATATTAATAATAAAGAAATATGGGAATATATAATATAAAAAAATATAAAAACATCCTAATTTTATATATGTATAAGACACCCTGTATTTGAATATTGCTATCTATAAATATTCCGTGTATTTGGATACTGAGAGAGAGAGAGAGAGAGAGAGAGAGAGAGAGAGAGAGAGAAAGTAGAATTTATTTCTTTATAATGCTGCAAATATCCATTATCCATTTGGATATTATATATATATATATATATATATATATATATATATATATATATATATATATAAAAATGTGTGTGTGTGTGTGTGTGTGTGTGTGTGTTTTCTGTGAGAGAGAGAGAGAGAGAGAGGGAGAACATTCTGCCACACGCTTTTGCAACATTTGTGTCATGGATAGAAGAGAGAGAGAGAGAGAGAGAGAGAGAGAGAGAGAGAGAGAGAGAGAGAGAAAGAGAGTGAATGTGATACTGTTGCAAAAATCTCTGCTCTGGTACCATGAGAGCGTTCGCCATTATAGTTTCTGGGCTCAGGCATCATTAACAGAAAACTATCCATCTCCAGCAGTACAATTTTTGTTGAAGGACGTTGTTCGTATTGTATAATTTTTAGCTGAATACTTGAATAGTATTCTACCAATCTATCTATCTATCTATCTATCTATCTATCTATCTATCTATCTATCTATTATTATTATTATTATTTTTATTATTATTATCTCTATCTATAAAAGGCAGGATGTGTGTAACGAATGCACGGCTGCAATTTTCGACGGATTTGCAGCAAATTTTACATGCACATGCTCAAAGTAAGCGGAAAGGCCAAGATCGACGTCGTATTTCTTCACTCCCATCGATAGTGGAAATAATCGATTCTTTCATGCTTCTACGGCATTTTTCATGTTGTTCGCGGCCATTTCCTCTAGCCAGAGTGAGAGCCTATAGCTGGCTGCATACGAATAGGCAGGAAGATTCTATTGGCCAGCGTGAGAACCAACAGCTGACTGACACGAATGTTAAGAACAGCATGCTAGCATGCAAAAAATATCGATAGCTGCATTCGTCACAATAGGGAAAAATTTAAATCTGCATGGACTTTTATCCAATTGGCTCATTCGCTTGCTTAAACTCAACGTTGATTCTAATTCCGCAGAACTGGGTTGGTGTGAAAAAAGTATTTTTGTTAACATTCTTTTTTCATTCGGTTTTTCCATTTACGAGTCCTTTTTTAAAGCTGATCGTTTTGTGTTCATTTTGTTTAGTTTTTTTTTGTAACAGATTTAATGTTTAGTATAGAGCTAGAAAAAATTTGCAGTGTGAGATAGGCAAGAAGTAAGGCATGTAGCAACATCAGCACGGCAAAGGGCACTCCTTTAAAGGCAAGGAAGGGCAAAAATATTTTAAGTCAAGTGATAGTAATTGCTGTATGAGTCGTACGATTTTTGAATCAAGCACGGGCAACACCGGGCCATGCTGCTAGTTATTATTATTTCTTTTGATTTCTGCTGTGAACTCATTTCTTTCCGGATCTTGACCACAGGCCTAAGACCAGAAATATCATCATGATATTTTCCACTGAGAAATTTTCAAAAATATAACACATTTCTCATACCCCACCAAAAAACCCTTCGTAAAGTGTGGGCTGTTCTCGCGAGAACAATTTTATATTTTTAAGGTATGTGCTTCCAGGAATTCTTTCAATTAGTCTACTGGAATCTTTTCCAACCAATCCGAGTGATCCAACAAGAACAGGGACTGTTGATGTTCCCATGTGCCACATGTTTGAGATTTCGATTTGAAGGTCCTTGTATTTTGATAGCTTTTTAAAGGTCTTTTAAGATACATTGCGGGCTGCAGGGACTGCCATATCAATAAGGGGACACTTTCTTTGCAGTCTCTAATAACAATATCTTGGGGGTTAGCTTTGATTGTTTTGTCTGTGTGTATTGTTTAGTCCCATAAAATTGTTACAGGTCCTATCTCCGTAACCGGGTCTGGGTGGTGTTCATACCAATTTCTCTCACTTTCCTTTCAGTAGAAGTTGCAGATTTTCCAGTGCAGATATTGGCCCACTTTGTCATGCCATGTTTTATATTTGACTCTGGATATTTATCACAGAACCTGCATTTTGGTATTATTATTATTATTATTATTTTTATTATTATTATTATTATTATTATTATCAAATCAGATATAATAACTTCCAATACTTCTCGAAGGTCAGCTCATTCATAATTTTAAAATAATACATCGGGACTCTTGACAATAAATTCTTATCGCGAGCCCCGTTCAGCGTTTAAAAGTTTATGAAATTTTGAGGTGTGCGTCGATTAATATTGAAGTTATTATATCTATTTTATTTGTATGTATCGTTTTAGTCTAACATTAGGCGTTTTAGTAGTAGAAATTGTTTTAAATTAAATATACCTTAAATTATATAATTTTAGGTATATTATTTGCTAGCATTATTTGCTGTCATTTTATACATATATCATATATCTATTTATCGACATATATATTTAAGTAATTTTAAGATTTTATAAGATTATTCTATATGAGATTTAAATAAATAATATACAGTTTTATTTCGATATCAGATTACATATATAAATGTATATCGTTAGTTATTGATTTTATTTTTTTTTAATTTATATCTTTAAGTTATACTTGTCTAAATTAGTCTCCTGCTACTTGCAGAAAAGATCAGTGTCCGCATTAGTCTTACCTTGACATAAAATGCTAAGCAGAACCAAAAATAACACTTCTACACGATGATTAGCGGAAGGTTTGACCAGTGAATTTTCCCTCTAACTAAAATCATGTAATCCAGTCGTAACTGTTAATGTTACTTAAAGAGGAGATGATCCCGCCAATTAGCTTCTTTTGCTCGTAAGATGCCATTATTAACTCGGTATGGCATTCCAACGATCTCCTAGGTCAAAAGAGTGCAGACAATATAGCTTTTTCTGAATTACCACTGGTAATATATAACCCATTTCTACCCGTTTCGTGTTACTTGGAGCGATGTGCACCTCTAATTAACTTTCCTTGGTATAGAGATAAGAGACACAGCGTGGCATATCGGAACATTTCTGTAAACTGATTGATTGACATGACAAGAATAGATATATATATATATATATATATATATATATATATATATATATATATATATATATTAGTTCTAATCAGATAGATAGATAGATACGTAAGATTTAGATAGATAGAGAGATAGTTTCGTAAGTTTACGATAGATAGATAGATAGATAGATAGATAGATAGATAGATAGATAGATACGTACTCTTAAGTTTGATACATATATAAATACATAAATAGACAGATAGTCCCGTACGCTTAAGATTAGATAGATAGATAGATAGATAGATAGATTTTCGCGTCAGCTTAAGATTTGATAGATAGATAGATAGATAGATAGATAGATAGATAGTTCCATACGCTTAAGATTAGATAGGTAGAGCGTCCCGTGAGCTTAAAAATAGATAGATAGTTTCGTAAGTTCTTAATAGATAGATAGATAGATAGATAGATAGATAGAATGGACATGCTGGATTTGATATAATTAAGCAGGCATAGAAAGTTCTTGAGGTACAAATCAACTGAGAGAGTAGAGAAAGAATGCAGCAGAATCGTCATTCGGATTGATGTGGACAGAAACCTTCTCGATTCTGACGGAATAACTGAAAAAGTATAAAGCAGAATGTCTCTCTAATCAACTTAACACTTCTCGTTAGATGATGTCAAACAAGCACTTGAGGCAATGTGTTCATTATACTCAGGACCAATTATTAAGAGACAGTGTTATTTTCTGTTACTTTTACAAAACCATATTTATACACATCATCAGAAGACTGCAAATTATACACATCAACTTCCACTTACATGATGTAGAATTTAAAAAAAAAATATCTTTTTTCAAATCGAAACGTGAAGACGATAAAAAATATTAACATGTGTGATATATTAACGATACAAAGACTCGTTACTGTGAAAATATTACTATATGAAAACGTGTTACCTTTACTTGAAATCATGTTATCGTATGGAGACAATTTTATATATTAAGTTTAATAATGATTTATTTTGTAATCTATGCAGCACATAAGGGTAAGATAAGATAAGAATTCAAACCTGCTCTTAGAGGAGGCTGAAAATGGAGTACTGTTGCCATATTTGGGCGTGAGTGGCCCAATCTTCACTTATCAGTCTTGATGGTGTTAAAAGGAGGCACGGTGGAGTAATGGATAGCAGCTTGGATTGAGGAATCGGAGAGCAGAGTTCGAATTCCAGTCCAATCCATTACATTCACTTACGTGCTAACACCATTGGGAAAGGTGTGAATCCTCTTTCTTCTTCCTCCAGCTATGGGTAAATAGCAGGACAGACTGGGCAACTCTTCTAGGAGAAGGAAAACTCTGAATTCAAACCTGCCCTTAGAGGAGGGTGAATGGAGTCTCTCTGAGCCTTGGTTGGCAATCCATTTAGTGTTGGTGTCACGATAAAAACACCCTTGATAGCCCTAGCGAAGCATCAAGAATTTAGCTATTTGACAAGATTATGAACTACACCAATCAAAGTATTGTTGAGCTCAATCTCGGCTGAGGCCGCAAGATGACGATGATGGTATTAAAAAGAGTCTCAGTATCTTCGTTGGAGGAGAAGTATCCCCCGCCAGCCAAATTCTCTCTCACAGGTCGGGTGAGGCGAGTCTTTCACTGCTATATCGCTACTACAATGGAAAGTGCTTGAACGAACAGCATTTCTTGGTTTCGCCAGGTCTAGCCTTGAGAGCTCGTACCCACCATGCCTCTTACATAATAGCAACCCACCCACATTTCCTCCGTATTCCACTGGCGAGAAGTAAACAGCTTCTTCCTGCGAACTGCTGCCTTGTGGAATAGACTCCCGAGAGGATGTTTCCCGATCAGTAAAATCTTAACCTGTTCAAGTTAACCGTTATCTTCCTTTCCTATCCATATAAGCTACACGTTAACGTTACCCTCTACTTCAAGTAGGCCTTCTACAGGGTTATCCTAACCGTAAAAAAAAATCTCTAAAAGATTCAGTATTAACAGAATCGAAAGGATATATGTCCACTATCATTGCGTGTGGACCGTAAGACGAAAGGCGGATCAGATTCGTGTAACCAATGTCATGCCGCCAGGTACTGATGAGGATTTAAACAAGGAAAGAAAAAATATGACCGGGATTTTCAAATATTTGCATTCAACTCTTTCTTTAAATTGTATTATTTAATATTTTAATGCAAGAGAAAGGAAAGAGCGAGTAAACTAACTGATGAATTGGTGTGAACAGATGGCTGGTCAAACAGAGCTTAGAGCTACAAGATACATGAAGCAGTGGAGAGTAATGATCACGAAAGTTATGTAGGTACATGGCACATAAAAGAATAATTTGATATCTCCTGAAAACCCTTGGAAAAATATTAGACGGGTGCCTTCAAGAAAGAATGGAACTTATTTAGAAAAAATGAATA